CTCCCCTCCCATTTTGAGCTACACTTTTTCCTACTTGTCAGAACATCGGTCCTTTCGCTGAATCATTCATCTCCTGGTTGAATGAAGCTCATCTGTTAGTAGATTCAAGAAGGGCTTTGAGTGTAGAACTTCCTGAGTTCTTACAGAACTGTTTTTCTGTAGCCTTGACGCCTGACAGTCAGCTTGGTAGCGTATGAAATCTGTGGTTTATATTTCTTCAATTTTTTGAAAATATGGCTTTATTGTTGCTTGCTTTGTATGTGGTTTTTGAAAAGTCTGATGTCAGTGTGATCTTTTGGACCTGGTAAGGCATCTGGTCCTTTTGCTCGGAGGTCTGGAGGGTTTTTCTTCATCTTTGAGGCCTGAGAGTTGGATTAGGGTGTGTCCCAGAGTTGAGTGTTTCAGGTGGGTGTTGCCCCGTGCCGTGAACCTTTCAATATGTGCATTCAATCTTCTTTTATTTCTGTGAAGTTTTGCTGGATATTGTAAATATTAGTTTTCTTATTGCTTTGTTCTTGAGGGACTCAATTTCTTCTTTGGTCTAAGTTCCATTTCAACCACATTTTGCTTTGCATTTTTTCTTGTTTTGCCCATTTATTGTTAATTTTTGAATTTCTGAGTCAAGGTGTTTTGTCACATTCCAAAAATTTGCTTGAGGAAATGCAATTCCATTACAGTTTTCTTCTGTTTCATGGGGGAACTTTTTATTAGCCGAGGTGTTTTTCTCATGTTTTGCATCCCTATAGTATCTTCGTATGGACTTATTTACTTTTCATCTATTCATTGCGTAGATTTGGGGCTCACAAGGGTTGTACATTCCAGGGGGGTGTAGATTTCAGTCGCACTCATGTTCTCTCTTTTCCTCATCACCTGAGTTTAGCATTAGGTGCAGTTAGATACACTAGGGTTGATCTGAAGTTTGGGTGTTCTCTGTATTGTAGTTACACTGAAGGTGTGTTTTTTGTGTAACTTCTGTTGCTGTTCCTGTTGTTCTGCATTGTTTGTGGAGGATATGTGGGGAGGTTTGCATAAAGGCAGCCACCATTGTCCTCAGCTACCTGTAAGTCTAATATATTTTTAAGTCCTTCTGCCTGTTGGGTGGAAAATTGCAGGTGGGAAAAAGCAGTAGTAGTTCTGGGTAGAGGTACACATGTTGTGACCACGGGTCCAAGTGGTTGGATTTGAGATATTGGGATATATGTTGAGGAGAGAGCTGACAAGAATTGGTGTGGGGGCGAGGAAATGAGAAAGTCAAGGGTCAAATGGACACTCATCTGGTCTGTCTCTAGAAGGGGCTGGAGTATGAGCTATGCTCCTGAGCACTGCTGTTCTCTCTCAAGGTTATAAGCCCGATGAAGGAAAACGAGGGGATTCTTGTGAAGGTGACAGTGGGGGACCCTTTGTCATGAAGGTAAGCTAGCTTCTTTAAAGGCCTGGAGCTGGTGGGTAGCTCTTCTGGTGGGGTGGGTAAGGAGGGACCCCAGTGTTCTGAAATAGTTGCCTGATAGGGTAATGCTGATATTACCTTGGACTTGACTATGGAAAACCTCATGTTTCTTCCTCAGAGCTTCACTAACAACCGCTGGTATCAAATGGGCATCGTCTCGTGGGGTGAAGGCTGTGACAGGGATGGAAAATATGGCTTCTACACACATGTGTTCCGCCTGAAGAAGTGGATAAAGAAGGTCATTGATGGGTCTGAAAGTTAGGGGCCACCCACATTCTAGGCTCCTCACTGTAAGATCATAGAAACCAATCCGGGGAAAGAACTATTTTTGTGGTTTGTTCCTAAAACTCTGGTTCTCAATAAAGTGACTCTATCTATGAGCCTCAGTGCTCCCAGTGCTGTTCATGGGCAGCTCAGGCAGAGTTGGTACCACTACTGGGTAAGGTGAGAGGGGAGACATATTCATAAATGAACCTTTTCACTTACTTAGGTCATCTATATCCTTATTTATTTTCAGTGAATTTGATCTGTCTGTACATATTGCTGTTCCTGTAGGGTGCATGTATTACTGAGGGGGAACTAGGCACTATAGCCTCTGGCAGGTACAGCAGTGCCTTTCACCTGGTGTGAAATGCTCATCAGTTGGTAACTGTCTGGAGGCCTCTGTTGAGAAGAGCCATCCCTGAGCTCCCAGGGAAGAGTGAAGCCTGAATGTCTGCACTGGGTACAGGACAGGGGGATGGAGCATGGATGCTACATGGTTACCATGCTTGGTCTAGGGCCTTCAGCTAAGATCTTTAAACTTCATGGTTTAAAGCAGAAAGGGACCTAAGGCAGGTACTTTTACTCCCCCCTCCCCTTTTCCCCCTTCTCATTTTTAATACACCAGGGACCAGAATTAGGATTTTCTTGCCTTCATTCTTTGGCTCTGGTTGACCAGAAAGTAGAGTAAAAACTGGAAATGCAGTGAGCTTGCAGGATCTTTGCAGCCCAGAGCTGTAACCAGAGCAGGGAGAAGGGATTAAGAATACCCCAAACCTGCTTTTTAAACAAGGGTGCACATTCTCACAAGACTGCTTGCCTTGTAACATAGCTGCCAGCATTGCGAACTCTGGACACTGTGGTTTTTCAAATTAGCTGTGCTAATTCCAGACCCAAGCACAGCCATTCTATCTAAGTATGTTCTTCTACTATAGCAGTGAACTCCTCCTCCATCTTCCCTTCAGCAAATGCCTGCTCCCACGTTCCCATCCTAAGGGGGAGAGGCAAGTTTCATTTCAGGCAGCGCAGGGACCACCTGAAAATCATGACTGAAATCAAGAAAGGATTTCCACCAACCTTCCATTTCTTGAACACCAGTTGAATAAAAGGTAGTCTAGGAAAGTTCCTCTGAACTTGACAATTGGCCAAAAAGTCTCCCATTTGAATCCAGAAACTCTTAGTACTTAAGAGTTTTTCTGACTATGGATGAAGGCCCTGCAGAGTTTATTCCAGAAGTGACTCAGTTCACTGTGTGGTCTTCACTCTGAGTGGGAAGCAACTGTAGTGCAGACTCAGACTCCAACAACAGGGCAGGAAGCTCTTAAGCTCTACCATATCTAGCTTAATGACCTGAATCCAGGTGTGACATGAGGAACAAGGTAGCCCGGCCAATCCCTGGGCACAATCTCACATCATTTGGGCAGTAAAGTGGCAGGAAGCCTACAAGCTCCTTGGAGCCATAGTGATGACGGGAGGGCAGCCATGACCCAACCTCAAAAGAGAGATTCCTTTGCTCACCCGGGAGCCACACGTGAAAAGCAGGAAAGGTGAGTTCCTCCTGTTCTAAGAGAGAAAAAGGCAGCACCATGTCTGTGAGCTGAGGAAAGGTGGCGCTCCATAGGCAGTCGTTTTAATCTTTCTCTAACTGGCTGAATACCCACCTGGTATCCAGAACAGGTGACAGAAAGAGGTGCCCACACTCCCAGATATGGGGCATCTTGGGAGCAGGTATAGTTAATGCAAACTTTATTTATAAAAGACTCTTAAATTAGTTGTATCATGCCATGCATTCATACAGAATACAGTAACCCTTCAGGGCTACAGGGAGAAGAGCTCACAAACTCAAAAGGAAAACTGTTAAAGAATTCCTAATAGTTAAAAGCTAGGAAAGATTAGGACAACTTTACAAATGAGCAGTTAAAAAGAAAAAGGGCATGGAAACTAGTCTGAGCTGAGTGGAGGGCAGCTGTTTACAAGTCTGTACACTAAGCTAATACACAGACAGTCTTCTAGAGAGGCAGGTGCTCATGGAGAAGCAGAGTATGTACAGGTACTTGTGCCATGACTCCTCCTGATCCACGGCTGATACAAACCGGTTCGTGTACACTAGGCCCGCCGAGGCCACTGTAAACTATGAGGACTCTAGTTTAGTAAACTAAAGCTGCAGGGTGCCAGGAGTCAGGCAGCTTCATTTGCGACTGCTCTTTATTCTCTCCAGTCTTTTTTTCAAGTCATCAATGTTAGCTGTGGAGGAGGAGGCCGCGGTCATGGTTCCTGAAGAGTGAGACTGGTTAGAATCCAGATCTAAATGCTGGTGCTGCTCCCGTGACTCCCGGAGCTGAGAGAGTTTGCTGTGCAGCATGTCTGTGGAAGAGGCAACGGGAGGAACGGCTGGTTTGGAGAGCAAAGAGGTCAACGGAGGTCGGTCATCTTGCTGTTGAGAGAAGAGACATTGTCTAAAGTCAAGAGGCAGCCCTGGAACAACATATACCAAGACTGGGCCGCTTCTCTGGGCCAGCCTGTCCCTGCCCTGCTTGTCACTGTCTCCTTGACCCACACAGAAGGGAAGGAGCAGTACCTTTGTGTTGTCCAGACCACATCGCTGTCGGAGGATTTTTAGCCTTTCCAGGTAGACAGATGGTCCCACCTCTTCTCCATTTGTGTTACCTATGGAGGACACTGTGCTTGTGGGAGCAGGCACACAGGTAACCTCCATCTGAGAGGAGATGCCTAGAGAAGAGATGCAGAAAGAATATTCAGATACATGCACCCCCTACTTCTAGGCTACCCTTGTTAATCTGCCACCAAAGGGAACAATTTGGGGCTCGAAGGTTGCCATTGTACTTTATGACTTAAAAAAATCCACTAGAATCCATCTGGAGTTGATAATAAAGGGTGCTCAGAAATATACAAGATAAGCTTAGTGAGAACTTCAAGAACTGATGCACAGGAGTGGACGTAAGTTGGGCCATCCATCTACATCCTGGGCTACGCAGGGTTGTAACTCTATAACCCCACAGCTGCCCTGGGCAACCCAAAAAGCCTAAGCTGCTCCTGAGTATATGGTCAGTGAAGAACCTAAGGACTTTAAATATTTGGTAGAATTAGACCAGGTTCAGACCACAGGACATAAGGGGAAAGCTCTGATTCAAACTGGGGAGGACAGCAAGGAGCTCAAGGCTACAGTATATTCATGAAGCAGGGGGAAACTGAGGTGTCCAACAACACCCAAAGAAGGGCTAGGAACTAGGAAATGTAATCCACAGCACTGAGATCAACAGTCTGGTAGAAGAGGGGAAACTCAAAACCAAAATAATCCACCACAGTTCCTAAATTCCTGAGAAGAGACAATCACAACAAGCAGATATTTAAAATGACCCAGCTGATATCAATGAAAATGCATTACATAAGCTAAAAAGACCAAGTATGGGAAGGCACTCTTATGGTAAATAGGAAAGTATACAGGTCACTTGAGGGAAAAAGGAACCCTTTGATATACAGATGAGGACACCGAGAGGGTGAACAATGAGTAAACAACGGAAAAGCCCAACAGTAACCGGTGCCGGAGCAAAAGCGTTCAGTGATCAGTGGGGTCACATGCTTGTGTTGCAAATATGCTGTTTAGGCCAAAAGCATTAATCAAATGTTGAACATCAGCAGAAAGCACTTTGGAAATGAGACAGGAGGCTTTACCCTGATCAACCAAACCATGGTATGTCCTTATGTAGTGTCTGTTAGACATTCTGCTCACTAAGATTCAAGTAAAAGACTCTTTTAGGTGTTAAAAACAACAAAAATTACTTAAGAGAACAAATAAAACTGAAACGAGTCTGGCAAGAAACCCCGTGAGAGAGAAGAGGACTGGAATCTGAAAGCCACAAAGGAACACAGCTTTATAGGCAAACATTCTATAACCTAAGAGTAGGTAAGATTCCCTGAACTCGGAGAGAACTAAATGCAGGACAAATGTGTAAGCTCTACTCTGCACGGTGAGAGGAAACTCTTGCAGTGGGTTTTTCTTGGGTTTAAGGCTCAACAGCTGTTTTCTGTTAACTGACACTTCCTAAGTCTTCCTTTTTCTCTAGATCCTGTGAACAATAATTCCCAAATACTGGCTTTTTTTTACTATAGTAACATTTCAGCTTAACATCAGGATAAGCACTCATTCATATCATTCAACAAATAATTGAGTGTTTACTATGTGCCTGACAACAAAACAGTCAAAAATCTTCAGCTTTGTGGATTTTCAATTCTAGCAGACAGACACCAATTAACCTAATAAGTACCACATTGTATGGTATGTTAGAGGTGGTTGAGTGCTATGGAGTGTGAGTGGTAGGTTGCAAGTTTTAAATAAGAGCTCACTGAGTTAGTGGTACTTGAACAAAGACCTCGAGGAGGAAAGGGAGCAGGGCTCTTGGGGAAGAGCAATCTATACTTAAGAAACAGCCAGTGCAAAAGCCCTAAGCAGGTGCATGCCTGGTGCATTCCAGGAACAGCAAGGGGGCTCGTGGGCCTGGAGTGGAATGAAAGTGGGGGGGGAGGGGGAGTATCAGGAGATGAGGTTCTAGAGTTATCAGGCCATATAATGTAGGACCTCGCGGACATTTGTAAGGCTTTTTGCTTTCGCTGAATGAAAGGGAGAGCCTTTGGAAAATGAGAAGCTTCGTTTTGACGCTGTGTGTAGAAATAATATAGGGAGGTGAGAGTGGAAGGGGAGATCAGAGAGGAGGAGAGTGCTCCAATCCAGACCAGGGCAGCAGCAATGAAGGTAATGAGAAGTGTGGGTGGATTCTGCATATAGTTTGCAGAAAAAGCCAAAGGATTTCCTGACAGAGAGGAAGAGAAGACTCAACAGTTGGGTCTGAGTAAACTAGGACAAAGGTGCTGAGAGGGAGAAGAATGCAAATGGAACAGGTTTGGGGGAACAGCAGGAGCTCAGTCTTTTGACATGTGGGGTTTATGATGTCCATTAGAAACACAAGTGGAGATGTCATGCAGGATATATCAGTCAAGATCAGGAAGGAGGTCTGAGCTGGACATCACACAAAACTGGGTCTTGCTGGCATATAAAGGCTATTTGAAGTGATAAAAGAAGATGGATTAGTTAAGGGAGTAAG